AAAGAGTGTTAACTGTAAACGGACCATGTCCACTGGCTCAGGGACTCAGGTAGAGTTAGGTCGGAAAACCCACCCCACACAATGTCCCAGCCCTAAATCACAGCTCATTAGCCCTTACCCTCAACTCGGTCCACCTGAGGAATTGGCCTTCACTGCTCAGGTAGGTAAGACTGTACCCTCAGGAAAAATTAAAAATAAAATTCAGACTCCAAATTGAATCACATTTAAATCCATGGCACTTTTTAAAGTAGTTTTCCTCTACACATACTGATCTACTTCATAAGCACTATAATTATTGTTTCTTTCCTACTTATCAAGATGTTCGCAGCATCACAGAGGATCTCATCCTCTAGCCCAGAACCACACTTGACATGGGCCCTCAAGTCTGATGCACAGCCAAGCAGAGATGCAGGAGGAGAGTCCTAGCTACCAGGACCCTGGAAGCCAATGGAGAGAGCATGGATGCCCTCAGCGCTTTGGCTTGGCTGCAGTGCAAGGCATGGGAAGCAGAGGTGTGGGCCAGGAGGAGCCAGAGCCAGAGCAGTGCAACAACATGACTTAAGTGGACGTGCTTCATGACAAAGCCACAAATGCTTAGTCAAAGGTTGAGGACTCAAAGTTTAAAAGTTTCAGCGGAAAGACAGAAGAGCAAGACTTCAACAAGCAATTCTTCCTTAATAAAGTATTTTGTACAGTATACCTTGGTGCAGAACAGTACAGAAGAGAACAAGTTGCAGAGATAAATGTGTGTTTAAAATTCCAGTTCACTCACTTACCAGTTGTGTGATCTATAAAAGTTACCTAACATCTCAGAGTCTATTTCTTCATCTGTAAAACCAGTATAAATAGGCTTGTTGTAAACGGGACACAGTAAAGTAGATGAAGTGCTGGGCACATGGCCAATGCTCTGAGAATGACAGCTGGTGAGGATGTTGTTATTCTCTTTTATGTATTACTTCAAATAGGTATGAAGGGCTTCATTCATATTCATTGTGATACTGAATATTAAAATTATTAATATTAGGAACACATCCCTGCATGCTTCTCTCATCACTTGAGCAAACTATACCAATCCAGCCCCGGGGTGCTGCATCGCCTGGCGACATACGGTATTCCACTGAGGCAGACAGGATATCAGAATCGCAAGGGATTTACATGGAAGTTTTAATGGGCGGCTAACAAATATCAGCAAAGTCATGGAATTTTACCTTCCTTTTCCTTAACACCACCTCATTAACACACTTCATTCACTCTCTCCATCCCATTCCACAGAGCCTCATACATGTACCTTTTCACATCATCTAACTTATCTCTAACAGAACCATTAAATTTTCATTGCTCCCTACGGCTTCCATAAACTTAAAAACGTATTCAAAATAAGACAAAAATAAAGCAACATGGTGGGAGGGATGAAAAACATTAAAAGAACAAGAGACAAATCTGAAAAAACATCAGAAGTAATGAGTCAAAGAAAAAAAGGATACAGTGCAGATGTTGAGAAAACAGGTATAAAGGGCACTGTTCTGGGTTGTGTGCGGCACACCTGCTCCTTGAGGGGCTTACCCCTAATGGTGGAAGTCCTTCCACAATGTTCTTCTTTCCAGAAAGGAGATCTGACACCGGCCTTTTCTTCAGAGAGTCCCTCCTCGCTCGGTACCTCCCTGAGGTCGTGAGGTCAGACTCCGACATGGAGGGTGACAGCAGCCCATCTCTTCTGGGCCGCTGGGCTTCAACAACCACGTGAATGGGGCTGACGTCCCGCACCCTCTGCTCAGTCTCTGTGATGTGGGCCTTGGGCTCGAGGATGTGCAGAGGGCTGGTGACTGCAGCGACTGCAGCACAAGGGCAGCTCGGCTGTGGGTCCCGGCAGTAGCTGCCCAGCTGCCTGGCAGGGAGGGTGGCCAATGCCTTGTTTTCCTCCTCAAAATCTTCTTCTTCGCTGCTATGGATCAGCATGGTGGCGTCTGAGAGAGACTTTTTGTGACCATATCTCAAGCTTTCCTGCTCTTCAGTCTCTTCTTGTTTCATCCTTTCAGTGAAGACATTTGGCTGGGAGCCTGCCAAGATGGCCCGCGGTGCCACATCTGCCGCCGAGGCTGACATGGTCCTCTCCTTGAGCCTCAGGCCTTCAAAGCCATGGGTCAGGCCGGCCAGCTCAATGCTGTTCCTCTTTTGTAACTGGGCATGCCGTGCCGCGGTGAGGGGCTCACTGACCTCCTGCAGAGAATGGGCCACAGGCAGGCTGTCCTCCTGGAACGTCTGCACCGAGTGATGCACTCGCCTGGTGATGAGATCCGGGTTGCTGCTGCTGATGTAGAGGTGGCGGGACAGGTCTGGGGTGCTGTTGGCGGGCCTCGGGTATGGGTAGGGCGGGGGCGGGCGGTACACCTGTGTTCTCATGATGTTCGGAGCAGGGTAATCCTGGGCCTGCAGCTGCACGTTGGTCAGCTCAGGCACACTGACAGCACCCACCACAGGCCGCCTCTCAGCCGGGTAGGGGTAAGGAGACTGGCTATGGAAACTGGAATTCAAGTTGAACGGATAGTGGGCTGACTGGGGAGAGGTCAAATGCACGTGCTCCCGAATTTCAGGTTGGCTGTAAACCAGCGCATCGGGCCTGCTGTAAGCATAAGAGTTGCCGATATTGAGGTTCCTCAGCGAGTGGCTCTGCCTTTCTGCATGCACCATCCCCCTGTTGAGCTGCTTCATGACAGTCTCATAATCCGGGGTCGGGCGGTATGATGGGGGGATCAGGGCACTGTGCCGATGTGACGGGACATAGTCGGGTCTCATGACGTCACTCCCAGTAATGCTTGGGTTGGAAGACATAGGTGAGGGCTGCAAGTAGGGTTGAGGGTTATTTAAAGAGTTAGTGCTATGTGCACTGTAGATGCTGCCATTACGGATTCGACCATTGAAGTCAATCTGGGCTCTATCCAAACTTGTCTGAGAGTGACAATAGTATCCATTCTGGTTGGGCACAAAGAGGTTATCTGAAAAAATAAGTTGAAAATGTACTTTAAAAAGAGATTTTTTTAAATGACATCTTTAAATTAGACTAATTATTCCAGCCAAATATTGAGATAAGCCCTGAACTTTGATGACATTTTTACCATGGCTTGTAAAAATCCAAGCTAAAATGGCCTTTACCCACACTATCTCAGTGACCCTGGGAGCCTCGGCTTCCCCATCTAGAATGGAGATGGATCTGCCTATGTAAAGGCTGGCATTCAGGATCTGGCCCTCAAAGATCAGTCAAATCTAAGTCCCATATTAAGAGTATAATTGTACCACGGAACACTGTCTTTTTCTGAAAGTTAAAAACGTGTTTTACTAGAGATATGAAATAGACATTCTGGAATTCAGGGAATTTGAGGCAGAGATACTGTTAAAGGCACTAAGCCACTGACTCTGCTTTCTCTCCCTTGTTCATGCTGAGCTAGTTCAAGCACCAACTATCTGTAAACATTTCTATAACTGGAATTTTAGACTGTTTGTGTAAATTCTTCCAGAATGAAGATACAAGCTTCGACTATAAAAGGGCAATGGTACAGCAGGATCTGAGCTTCCCCAGTCCAACAGTTTCACCAGTAGCTGCACTTCCCATTAAAGGTCCAGAAGCCAAGAAGAGCCAAGCCGAGTTAGCTGAAGCTGCCCCTGCCCTGCCCCATGCTTCAGGAAGATTTGGACCCATGGCTAACAGAATCAGGAGTGACTTAATCCCACAGTGGCTGTGTGTGGAACCTGTCCAGGGCTGGAAGGGACCGTGTTTCTTCCAGCCAATC